GCTCAGGGAGGGGGGGGGGGGGGCGGGGAGAAAAATACACCTGCCGCAACTACGAGTCTTGTCCATGGGACGGGTTAGAATGTTGGCGCTAAGCCTCTGGGTCTGGTGGGGTGAGGGGAGGCGTGATGATACGATACGGAATGATTAATTTATTTTCGTGTCCTTCTGCACACAGTAGGTAAGGGATGTTTGATATTTCACGCTGGCAGTTGATTAATAGGAGATGATTACAGGAAGTGCAACGATAACCGATTGGTAGGACTTATTCTGGTATGGCTGAGCTAATTGTGTTATGTTTGATTGACGAGGTGATGGGTTGCTTTCAAAGTGAAGTAAAATAACAGGTCTTTTGATAAAATGGGTTCATGTTTTGGGCAAAAACTTGGCACACAGTGACAACAGCACAGACGTGCTTCAATGAAAGAGAATCGGGGCTTGCCTCGAGTCCAACAACGATTGGCGTTTGCCTTGTCGATCGTCGTCCGCCATGTGCGGACAGGAGCGGGTACTGTAATATAAAAAAGAAACCAGCCCACCACAGATGTTATCTTTTTAGGATAAATAGTACTAATTCAGTAAAGTTTATCAATTTTCACATCAGAATTCGAAACGGGAAACAGCGAAACGATCTTAGGTAGGTACTGTGACGCTAAACAAACAATGGCCTGCTTTTCTCCCCCTGAGAATATCTCAAAGCCACAAAGCTGTATGAGGATTCATTTGATGCTCAAGAAGCGTTCCTGAAAATATGAATCACCTGGGTGCCTCCGGTTACCCGCCGAAATTGAATGAACAGTGCCGAATTTGGTTGTTACTGTTGCTAAATAGCGTGCGCTACCTCTAAACCTGTGCTGGCGCAGCCGATTCTACTTGCGCTATCGCTGAAAATGGAGCGTTTTGCCGCTGTGCCGAAATTGAATGCTTTACCGCCGACTGCCTGACCTGCGCCGAGATATTATGTGATTCTTGTACATAATATTGCGGTGTGTCTACACACACTTCGTTAGTTCTAAAATGGACGATTACGCCCCGAAATAAACTGACAAAAGGTGTATGTTAATGTGTGTAATGTGAAGTGTGTGAAGTGTGTAGGTACAGGCCAAATGGTCACCCGCCGAGGGCGGCACGGGCCCCGCCACCCCAGGACCAGACGTTC